ATGATGTCGAAGATGTCTCAGCTACTCAGCATGAATGTTGAAGTCTGCTCCATTTCGGCAAACAGGGGTGTTGTTGGAGATACGCGGAGTCCACTATCCGGAGTGGCGTCGGCGCTCCATTCCACGCCTATCTGCTTCCGTGGAGTTGGTGCTGATGATGGATTGGTTGCGACGCAGGTTTTATGACTTTAAGGAAAGCCATAGGCCATGAGGACTTGTATACCGGTAGAGTACCGTTGTCCTCCCATCCCCATAAGAGCAAATATCTGCTGCTCTTGAGGGTATATGGCATTGCCATATTGTTTCCTCGCATAGTGGTATCTCCTTCCCACTAGCTGGAAATCATAGTACTGTGCCTGGCCGGGACTTTACGATCCACTGGAATATAATCCAGCATTATCTCCATTGAGCGGAGAATCATCCATCAGGATTTGGTTGTGACTGTTGTGTCGAGTCTTCTGCTGCGGCGGCGGCGGCGGTAGCGACGACGGCGACGGCGGCAGCGGTTGCTGCAGAGAATTCTCTCAACTCGTACCGGTTGAAGGAGAATCCATCAACTCCCCCTTCCCAGTAGAGTGTACCTGATGGGTGTAACAGGCGTAACTACCAGGAACACGTGCACATTGGTACACATGTGTTGCTCCATTGCTGCCGGTGATTGTTTCATTTGAGGGTGTGAAGAGATTTTTGCTTCTCCCCTCAATGTATCCACGGGTAGCAATTCCTGGTATGCTCATCCGTGCCTCCGATGTACGGTCGGTAAAGCGCGTGATCATGTTGTAGTAGTCCGCATCTCCCACATTTGTTGACACCTCGTGTTGCTTGGCGTTCTCCTACATCGTCGAAGTTACGCTGGTGCTTATAACGCTTCGGCTTCTGGTAGAATCGCCTCCAATGCATGTGCCGTAGGGTCGCTAGTGAACGAGTACTTGCCGGATTAGAGGTTAATTACTCCTCAACCTGTCAAGCATCGTGACATGCACGGAATTTTCTTCCACGCAGGTCATTAACACCTGGAATCGCGACGCATGATTGGTGTGTCGCCTCGTGAGGTCGATGTTGAGACTGCTCCAATCAATCACCTCGGATGGCTGAGATTCTTGATGAAGAAGAATCGTTCAGCTCCTGTTACGAAGTAGTGTCTCGCTGGCCTTGACGAGACGGGTTCACTGCGTCGTCGTTGCGTGCGAAATCTGCTCCTTCGCAGCAACTTGAACTTGGGAGCATTGCAAGAGAAAACGGCTACTTCTCTGCAATCCCATAAGTTGTCGATCAAATTTATGAGATGAAGTATCTCATGGATGGAGAACATGTCTTCACGCAGCTCCATTGTTTTTCCTGGGTGAAGATTCGCTGTGTTGATGTCGATCCATTTTTAACGAAGATGACTTCGTCAAAATAACTCGATCGTTATCGACACCAGTCAGAAGATGCGTCGATTGTGGAGTCGGTGGTCACGAATGTTGTCTCCATGATGATGATTTCCCATAGTGTAGTCTCTGCTGTATTCGTGCCGTTGATTCCGCACCAATCCGACGATCCACGTTCTCCTGTCATTTTTCTGCTTGCAGCTATTACCAAGTAGGTAATATTCTGGCAGATTTCTGACTCTGCAGATGATTTACGCGCCAAATTCGTCACCAAATGAAGGAATTCGAATTTGGTTGTTCAGATGTTGTCGACGGTGTCGAAGGCGGCTGATTTTTGGTTCTGCGCGTCATTCTCCCTTTGTGCAGAAGTCGGCCTCCATCTCGTCCGTTGAAGTAGAAGTCGATCCGACGGTCCAAACTCCAAGCGATCTGAGGATACTCCTGAGTCGCGTTCAGCAGCTTTCAGTGTCCGGGTTGACTCGTTTCCTGCAGCAATTCTCGGTCGTCGATGTCAGCTGTCGAACGATCGGACGCTCTGAAAAACTTCGCGGCTTGCGAGGTCCCGTTCCCATTCGCGCTGAAACCGGAACTCGCTCAGAAGGATTTCGTTTTCGCCTCGGTCGATCCGAAGCGTCGAATCTCCATCGGACGGATGTCGTCGGTCGCAGCTCCGCACATTTCCGCGCAACTCCGAGTGTTGTCGCGAACTGCGAACTTCTCCGAATGTCGCAGGGAGTGTTCCGCCGGAACTGACGCGCTCGCCAGGTCGAGGCCGTTTGCCTCCGCGAAAAATCGGCACCGTCGATGCAGTCCATCGAACGGTTGGCGAGGCGTCTCGCCTTCGAAGGGGACCCCAGGTGCAGCTGCGAGAGGTGAGTCGAAACTTAAATGAAAGTGCATTGTACTTACAGGAATTGAAGTTTCGACTCCATCCTCCGCGTGCTCCTGGGGGCCCAGCGGTTAAGCGTTGAGCTGAACCCTTGGCTCTGATAACCAAGTGTCACAGGATCGAATGTCCCGAGGAAAGGTTTGCTCAATGTTGCACTATCAATCAGTACAAGGTGCTTTTATACTTCCAGAATACATCAGGTAACCAGGTTTATCCTATCCAAAGGGAATAGACCCTTCGTATAGCCACGCTAGGCTATTGGCTTTAAGGGATTACGGCAGGATTACGCTAGATATAGCGCGCCAGTACATCCCGAGCCTGGTCAGTGATATAATCATAATAATAGGATAAAGCAAAGGATAATGGAAAAGGAGGAATAGGAAACCAAATGAGATGAGATAAAGACCAAATGAATGAGGATAAAAAGAGGAATGAAATAGAAAGGAAATATGGAAAGGGGAAATTGGTGTAACGGGGTCGTACTCTCACAATTGTACCCTCTACAGTAAAATTCGGTAACATACCAAGCCTAACAATTATATAACTCAATATATAATTTAACACACTCCCTAGGCTTGGTAGTCACAAGCCCACACACACCCCCACACCCCCTTACCTAGGACCCCCAATCCCATCAGCCACGTCTACTCTAGCAGAGCCAACTCCAAGGCCCTGGAGATGGCGACGGCGGCCGTCCCGGCAGCGACGGCGACGGCGGGCGTACGGCGGCAACAGGCATGCGGCGACGGCAGCGGCGACGGCGACGGCTTCGGCTTACGGCGGCAGCGGCCCCCGCCCTTCCGGCGGCGTGTCCAAACTCCGCGACAGGGGGACGACCGGCGAGAGTCAGGCGGCGGCTGTAGCGAAGAGGAGGGAACATAGGAAAGGGGGAAGGGGCGGTGCTTCGGATCTTCAGCGCGGCGCCATTGCTGGCGCGGCGCTTACTGGCGTGCGGGCGGGCGGTCTAGCGGTGCCACAGGCGTCGCGCGGCCGGTTGCAGCCCGGCATTGTCGTCACAGAGCAGCGTCGACGCCGCGGCGGGACGTCGATGCTGCGACGGCTGCACGACGGCCCGACGCCACGGCAGCGCGTCGAGACGGTAGCGGCACGACGCGGCCAGCGGCATCACGACGCCGCCACTGCAGCATAACGCGGCCGCCGTGGCCGCACGATCGAACGAGGGCGAGTACGCGGCGGAAGCGTGAGGAGGCGGTCGAGCAGGGAGGAACTCCTGCTCTGATAGCATGTTAGAAGGCTAGCTTAGCTAGGAAGCTAGGAAAGGCATGAGGTTTAGCTAAGAGGAGCCATGGAGTGGCGTGAGGTTTAGGAAGGAGAAAAGTTGAGGAGAGAAAAGATGATTGGAATAGAAAGAGAGAGGCATACAAGGAGGGGATTGTATCCTCTATAGTAAAGTTCAGTAACCTACCAAGCCTAATAATTATATAATTCAATATATAATTTAACATTAACATATATAATTTAACAATATGGTGGTCGTCAATCCATAGCTGATTGTTCTTATCAGGGCGTTCATTGCCCAAGCACTGGGGGGCAGCAATAAGGAGACTGTCACATCATCCAAAGTGTACGCATGCATGTATTACAACTTTACCGAATGGTACAGTGATCTTAAAGCCCGTGGCTATAATAGCAATCAAGAAGGCTGTTTAATTTGCTCTTGAACTTGGCTCATGACTTCATCTTTAGAGTAAACGAAACAGAATAAAAACATTTCGTTTTGCAAAGCGGAATCTGACCGTGGCGGTTTGGCGACAGTTTTTGCACGAAACCATTTGGTGAACAGTGCAATATGCGTCGTGCGACCAAATTCGTGGTTCCGTGAACAGTGAAAATGCAAAAAGTACTGTGTTTTTTTGGCGAACAGTAGCTGATTCTGGAATTGCAGACCTGGAAATCACTTGAATTCCCTAGTCATAAAGCGCCTGTATTTCCTCGTCGCAAGCTGCTCGCCCAAACCCGTCGTAGAAACTCCATGCGATGAACATAGTGTTTTTGCGCAATTTGCATCCAAATGATTGTGTCGCAACAAATAGCAAAACGTGTTCTTTCGTCATTCCTCCAATCAGCAAGCTCGACCATAAATTGTTTCGACGCACTTTTCTTGTTCAGGCTTGAACTCAAAGCTGCCTTCCATTCTATACTTAGGCGGATTTCAAAGCACCGAATTCAAGTGGTTTCCAGGTCTGCTATTTTAGCCACGGGCTTTAAGTGAAAGACTTGTGCCCGTGTACATGTACCAGTGCATACTTTCGTGTTTACCTCTTACTGGAAAACGAAAACTCAAACGAGGAATCGTAGATTACTACTACAGGATGCAATACTGCAATTTCTTGGTGCCCATCTAGCACAAGAACCCTTTCACATTGTTTTGAAGTTCTGGTTATTTTGAGCTTTGTAGAGTCAGTTTATGTTCTGTACACTTGGTTCATCTACGAGCAAGCATATTTCGTCTCGAGAATTCGCAAATTTCTAGTTTCGCTCAGTAACTTTCTCGTGCAGTGCAATCCTCGGCGTGCGCTTTGCCAACTCGCGATTGTGTGAATACCAAGCAAACGAATCCTACGTGCGGCGAGCAATTGGTTTTCCCTATCGATGGACGCCTCCCATTGGCTGGGCGAATCGACGTTATCCAGCACTGGCTCCGTGCTGGTTGCCTCCCCAATCCCCTCCCCTCCACTCCCCGTCTGCCCCTGGCTCTTCGCTGCTCCCACCAGGGCTCCAGGATATCCCTTTCACCTCGGGCCTTCATCAGTGCTGTCTGTGTCTGACCCTAGAATCCACGTTCTCGGACTCTGACGCCATGGCCGCCCTTGCTACCCGTGCCCTCGCCTCCGCGCCGGTTGCCCTCGAGGCTACCCGCCAGCGCCTTGTCGCCGGCAAGGCCCTGCGCTCCGCTGTCCCTGCCGTCGCTGCTGTGCGCGGCCAGAGGCTCGTTACCCGTGCAAGCCTTGAGAAGGTGAATACTTCGCTTACAGTAGCTCGAGGAAGTGAACTGCACCACCTTCTGCCGTTGTCGGTCCGTAGCCTACGAAAGAAAATTGCTGACATTATCATCGTTCATTCCCCTATCTGGCATTTTGCTTGCAGCCCACTCGCCAGACGTACTTCGCCTCCCCTCAGTCCCTGAGCTACCTCGATGGGACCCTCCCCGGCGACTTCGGCTTCGACCCCCTTGGCCTGTCCGACCCTGAGGGTGCTGGCAACTTCATCGACCCCAAGTGGCTCACTTACGGCGAGCTGATCAACGGCCGCTGGGCCATGCTCGGTGTTGCCGGCATGATCGCCCCCGAGATCCTCGGCAGCTACGGCGTCGGCCCCAAGATTGTGTGGTTCCAGTCCGGTGTCATCCCCCCCCTGGGCGGCTACGAGTACTGGGCCGATCCCTATGCTCTGTTCGTCCTGGAGATCGTCCTGATCGGCTTCGCCGAGCACAGAAGAGCTCAGGACTACTACAGTAAGCATCCTCCTGCCCCTTTCCCAGAGCTGTCCTGGCTCCGCCATTCCATTCTTAACCCGCCACTTCCCCTTTTCTTTTCCTTCTCGTCATCGGCTCCGCGTTCTATCCTCTGTTCTTACCCGCCCTGTGAATTGTAGAGCCCGGCTATGGCTCCAAGCAGTACCTGCTGGGTCTTGAGAAGGTGCTCGGCGGCTCCGGCGACCCCATCTACCCCGGAGGCCCCGTGTTCAACTTCGCCGGGCTGGGCAAGACCCCCGAGGAGATGCACACCTACAAGACGAAGGAGGTCAGGAACTCCCGCCTCGCCATGCTGGCGGCCCTGGGCTTCTTCTTCCAGGCGTGGATCACCGGCGTCGGCCCGTACCAGAACCTGCTCGACCACTTGGCCGACCCCGTGAACAACAACATCCTCACCAACCTCAAGCTGCACTAAGCTGTTTATTCTCAATATAAATGTAAAGATTTTGTGAAGATAATTCCAATTACAAACCATATTTGCATCTCATATAGCCACAAGATACCCATGTGCACAATTACGAGCTTGGAATGATCATAGGCGATCACGTGCTGACGGGGGTCGTGGTTCGGAATTAGACTTAGTCAGCATGGTAGTTTGTGTAACACGATGACTCTGGAAGTAGGCCGGGTTTGACTGTCAGCACGCTTTGTCCACATGGCGTCCATCGTCCCCGTTACACTGACAGCCCTTAATCTCCGTTCTTTACGGCGCAGTTGCAGCAAGGGCCAAGTCCGTCCCAAAACACGTAGAGCGCCGAGGATAGTTGCCACAGCACACCTGAATAAGGTAAGGCTGCATGCTGGACGAAATCGCTGCGGTCGTTTAACGGGAGATGCTGACAGCCCTGATTTGCCATCGCCTGTGCAGGACGATCGGCAGACGTGGTTCGCTTCGTCCCAGTCGTTGACGTACCTCGACGGAAGGTCAGTCGCCACACGCACGCACACCATGCGGCGCTGAGTTCTACCTCGTGCGTCGTGCCCTGCTCCCCACTTTCGCACACCCGATGACTGTCTCAGCCCTGAGCGCCGTCGTCTCGTTCTCGCAGCCTGCCAGGCGACGTCGGATTTGATCCTCTCGGGCTGTCGGATCCGGAGGGCGCGGGCGCGTTCGTGAGTCCGCGATGGCTGGCGTACGCGGAGGTGGTGCACGCGCGCTGGGCCATGCTGGGCGCGCTGGGGATGCTCGCCCCGGAGATGCTGGGCGATCTGGGCGTCATCCCCGCGGGGACGGGCGTCGAGTGGTTCCGCTCGGGCGTCATTCCGCCGCTGGGCGCGTTCGACTACTGGGCTGACCCCTACGCGCTCTTCGTCGCGCAGATGGTGCTGATGGGCTTCGCGGAGCACCGCCGCGCGCAGGACTTCTACAGTGAGTCGCCGCCGCTCGCGCTGTGCTTACGGCGCGAAGCATGCAGCATTCTTACCTCGCCACTCGATAGCTCGCGGCGTGCCAGCAATGTCCCGCCGGTGCGATTCTCTCTCTAAACGCGATCACCTCTCAGCTCACTGCGAGCCTTGCTTCCCCTCGTTCCCTCGTTTCCGTGTTCGCCCTGGCAGCGCCCGGCTACGGCGCGACGGCGCCCTTGTTCGGGCTGGAGCGCGTGCTGGGGGGCTCCAAGCGCCCCCCGTACCCCGGCGGACCCTTCTTCAACTTCGCGCGGCTGGGGCGCTCCAAGGCGGAGACGCGCGCGCTGAGGACCGCGGAGGCGAAGCACGGGCGCGTGGCCATGCTGGCGTGCCTGGGGTGCCTCGCGCAGGCGCTGGTGACGGGGAGCGGGCCGTGGCGCAACCTGCTGGACCACTTAGCGGACCCCGCGGGCAACAACGTGCTGGCGTACGTAGGGCTGCTGTGAGGCTGTGCGTTGCCCTGTCGCACGGCGCTGCTGGGAAGACAGGAGTGAATGTGTTACCTTCATACACTATAATCCGTCTGGATAGAGGCTCTGAGAAGGGAGGGGGGGGGCGTGGAACATAGACATTTGTATTACACACTGTTCTTGGCGCATATATGAGCTAAGCCCCGTCCAATGTACTGTATCTATCTACAGCAGGGTGCGGCGGTGTCAGTCCTTGCGCAGATCCATGGTCTCCCGCCGCACGCCGCTCTTGTCGATGACAATGATCTCCAGCGCGTCGCCCTGGAGGGCATCGCGCACACATGGAAGGGGAAGCAGGGGCGCATGGGTGGAGGCGAGCATGTCTACACATCAGCAGCACACAATCTTACAGACACAAAGAAGGGAGAGGGGGGGGGAGGTGCAGATGAACGTGAGAGAGATGTGTGGGCGCCGCAAGACAGCAAGGCAGGAGGGCAGGAGGGCAGGAGGGCGCGCACGGTGTAGATGTCTCGCTCGGCTGCGGAGGCGAATGTGTCCTTGATGAGGTCCACCGCCTCCTCCTGCGACAGCTTCGTTGCTAGCGGCTGCACACATAAGGGCAGGGGGGGAGGGAGGGCCGGAGGAAGGCACGCAGGCATGCACGCAGGCAGGGAGGGAGGGAGGGAGGCAGGCACGAGTGGGTGCACAACCAAGGTTAGGGGGAGAGGAAGGAGCACAGACAAGCACACAGAGCTGAGGGCAAGGGCAAGATCACGAAGCCCACATCCAACACCACTCCACTCCCTGAAACGCCCCTCTTCTGAGCGCACCTGTGGTGGCAGCACGAGGGGGTTGGCGGCCTTGAGCTGGCTGTCCAGCACGGGCACCACGAGCTGCTGCCCCGTGCCGTGCACCGCGTACCCCAGGCGCTCATGCGACCCCACTGCGTCGTACCCGTACACACACCCCACGCCTGGGGGGAATGCAGAAGGACGGACGAGCGTTGAGATGGAGGGGGGGGATGCATTGATCCGAGGGGAACACGCGAGACAAGGATCCAGCACAGGCATGCAGTGCATGGATACACCAAATGCCATGCCGCGCAGCAAACAGTATCCGCGCAGCACATGGCATGCCGCGCAGCACATGGCAGGGAGCCCATAGCCGAGGAGCGTGGGAGGCCCACCGTTGACGTCGAGTCCAGCGAGGGCGTTGAAGGTGTAGTAGGGGAAGAAGCGCTTGTAGTAGAGCGTGTTGGCCAGCAGCTGCGCCATCGCCTCGCACGACATCTCCTCGTTGTGCTGCTGCTGGTACACCTGGGACGAGGGGGGGGGGAGGGGGGAGAGGGGGGGAGGGAGGAAAGGAGGGAGAAGCAGAGTTGTGGCTTGGAACAGTTTCCCTGGCACGTTTCGACTCTCACAACGCGATGCTCCGTGTGTGCCTCATGGCCATGGAGCAAGAACCTTCCGTGGCATCAACCTTTACACCCCATGCCCGCACCCCATGTCGGGACTCGGGAGTGCAGCACCGATCGTTGCACCTCTTATCCACCGCCTCCCATTTCTCTCTCGAATTAGAGCCGCGTACCTCGTGGCGCTGCAGCCACACCGCCCTCACCTTGTGGCACCGCAGCAGAACCCCTCACCTCGTGTCGCTACAGCACCGCCCTCACCTCGTGTCGCTACAGCACCTCCCTCGACTCGTGTCGCTACAGCACCGCCCTCACCTCGTGTCGCTACAGCACCTCCCTCAACTCGTGTCGCTACAGCACCGCCCTCGCCTCGTGTCGCTACAGCACCGCCCTCACCTCGTGTCGCTGCAGCAGCACCTTCTGCAGCATGCGTCTGTCCGCCTGGAAGCCCGAGCTCACCAGCACGCAGCGGTCCGAGCTGGGGGAATGGGCGGGGATGGGAAGGGGAGAATTGGGTTGAGCGCCCCGTCACAGCTCACCAGCATGCGGCACTTGGAGACGAGGGAAGGGGCAGGGGAAGGGAAGCGGAGAGGGGGTTGAAGCGCTTCAGACCAGTTTACCACCGCACACAGCAGTCAGCGCTGGAGGGAGCGCGCATGGCCAGGGGAGGGAGGGGGGATGAAGGGCGGATGAAGGGCGGATGAAGGGCGGATGAAGGGGGGTGGCAGAAGCACGGGAGAGAGAGAGAAACGAGGCCTCCCCACTGGAAGGGCCCGCTCTAGGGGCTCCCGATGGAGGCATGTAGAGGGGACTGCTCTGTCATCTTGCAGCCCACAGCTGACGTCGGCTAGCCAGGGAGTGGGGTGATAGGATGCATGCTCATAGCTGCCCCGCATGCCTACCTCTGTACCCAGTATTCCCATGCCCAACGCTGCTTGTTGGCAAGGGAACCAGCGTTGCGGGAAGGGGAAGGCGAGAAGGCGAGGGCGCGGCAGAGGTGACGGGGGGAAGGCACACGGGAAGGCACGGGGGGAAGGCACGGGGGGAAGCACGAAAGCGAGGAATTCTGACACGCCGAAAGAGGGTGAGCGAGGGCGGGATGGCGGATATGAGTGAGGGGGAGAGAGGAGTGAGGGGGAGAGAGGAGTGAGGGCGAGAGAGGAGTGAGGGGGAGAGAGGAGTGAGGGGGAGAGAGGAGTGAGGGGGAGAGAGGAGTGAGGGGGGAGAGAGGAGTGAGGGGGAGAGAGGAGTGAGGGGGAGAGGAGTGAGGGGAGAGAGGAGTGAGGGCGAGTGGGGAGTGAGGGCGAGTGGGGAGTGAGGGCGAGTGGGGAGTGAGGGCGAGTGGGGAGTGAGGGCGAGTGGGGAGTGAGGGCGAGGGGGGAGTGAGGGCGAGAGGAGGGTGAGGGGGCGAGCGGAGCGAGGGGAGAGGGGGGGCGAGGCGAGTGGGGCGGCGCGGGGCTGACATTTGGAGGGCCTTGGAGTGGTTGCGCGTGTAGATGCTGTACCCCGTCGACAGGCGCGTGTCCGCCGCCACGATGGCGAAGTCGACCCCCGCCACCGCCATGCTCGTGCTAAGGGGGACGGGGGGGGAGGGGGGGCAGGGCACGGAGGATGAGGATTCGATACGATCGGTTGGATTAACTTGAATCGGCGACCCTTGTAGGAAAGTCGCCACGGGAAGGCGGGAGCGAACGATGGTACACGGGCAAGACGGCAAACAGGCGGGACGGCCGAGCCGTCACCCGCGACCTACGAGTCGGCGCTCACGCTTCCAGGATCAGCTAACGCTCGGCTGCAAACCGGTCGACTTTAAGGTCCACGCGCACCTACACTAGCACCGCAGCATGGCAACCCATACACGGAGAACGGAACGGGAAACCGTGAATTTCCTTTTCCCCCCTTCCCCCCCGAAACTCGGAGGGCTAGGGCAGCGCGAATCTCACCCGCCGTTGTTGTCGTAGGGGCTCCAGTGCGCCATGGCGGCCTCTGGGCTGTGAATCCGATCTGCCGAATCGCCTCCTTTACGCGATTCACGCTACACGCGAGCTCCGCGGAACAGATTTGACGTGCTGCGACGGAAATCACGCGACGGCAGTCGGGTAAGGCGAGGAACGGAGGTAGCAGTGAGGCGACTTGGTGAGGTAGTGCGCACACAAATGATGATACGTGGGATCTACCAGGTAGGGGACGGGGTGAGCTCAATTGACATTCTACCTCGCTACAAACACATCTCTTATTCTGCTTTGTGAGAAATGCATTTCGAAAGACAAGAAGCCCACAAAAGCAATGCTCTTTTGGTTCCCCCCTAAATAAGCAGGTCAACTTGATTTACCGAATTCGCAGACGGCAAAACTGGGTTTCTGCAGAACTAAATCGAGTACGCGCCTGACGGAAACTGTAGCCAGTTGCTTTCGTCGGCCAATCTCGAGGTTCTGAGCAGCACGGCTGTCGCTCACGCGTGGCTGGTCGCTGCTGCGCTGTGCCCAGCACGGTCGCCCACCGTCAATTTCTTCGCCCCAGCGTTGCTCGGCCGTGAGGGAGGGATCATCGGTGAGGCTTCACAGGCAGGCAGTGACAAGCTAGCACAGCACCTTGACAGCCATTGGAGCATCAGCGAAGTGTCAGCGAAGCGTGGGCGAAGCAGCGCGATCTGGGGCTTGTTCCGACTTACATGTCGGGTGGCGGCTCTTCGTTCGCTGGGGGCGGAATCGCAGGCGGAATAGAGGTGGGCGCACGGTGGTCGCCGCGTTGTGGCGGAATAGACCCTCCTGGACGTTAGACCGCCGTCAGATATTGTCCAGCAGCGGCGTGCCTCCCCCTGTCAACGTAGGACCCGCCAAGAGCTCGCTTCTCGCTTTCCGCGAGACACCTAGGCCACACCTTGATGGTCCATTTTCATGCTAGTTTGGTCGCTCATCGCTTACCAACCTAAATCCAACGCCGGGCGCTGTCTCAAAACGTAGCGCCGCGGTCGTCCAATGCTCGGGAGCTAGATCCGGTCTTACTCTCCCAGTCTTCAAGACCTAGTCTCTGTCTCACTCTCCCGTTCCTCCTAGCCTTAGTTCCTCTCCCACGCGAGCCCGTCGTCGTTTGCCTTGGCCCTGGTCGCACCACATTCTCCGCGCTTGGCGCCCAGCGCCCATTGCCCATTGCCCATCGCCCATTGCCCATCGCCCATTGCCCATCGCCCATCGCCCATCGCCCATTGTCGTTCCCTCATGAGTCAACTCCTCACCTTCTCCCATCCCCCGCCCACCTCGTCCGCGTGAGCCTTTCCCCCTCCCCCTGCCCCTATGGGGTGCGCGGTGTCAGTGGAGGTCCGCCCCGCCTCCAAGCCCGCGGAGGGCCTCCGCTCCGCGCTGCCCGTGATCACCGCGGGTTCGGCCGTGCAGCCGCCGGGAAGCGGGTCGGTGCAGGGCAGCGCAGTGGGCGCAGCGAGCGAGGGCGGAAGCGGAATTCGCGGGTCAGGAGGCGCTGGAGGGCGCTCTGGGGGAGGGTCGGTGGGGAGCGGTGGCGGTTCGATTGGCGGAGGGGATGCGCGCGAGGCTGGGAACAGCGCCGCAGGTGCGGCGGAGTGTCGCTTTTGCACTCGTTGCGGAACCACATAGAGAGGGGGGAGAGCTGTTGGAAGCTCGTGCCTCCCTCCCGTCCGAGCTTCCGCCATCCGCCGTTCTCTTCCGCGCGCTCACTCCCCTCTCCCCGCTGCCCCGCCACCACATTCCCCACCTCTCACCCCACCGTTCCCCCCATCCCCCATCCCTCCCGCCAGACCCCTCCGTCCCGTCCAGCGCGAGCGCGGGCGAGGCGGCGCGGCTGGTGAAGTTCCGCCTGCGCGACCTGCAGGCGGCGACGGGCAACTTCGGCGCGGCGAGCGAGCTGGGCGAGGGGTCGTTCGGCAAGGTGTTCCGCGCCACGGTGGACGTGGGCGGGCACGCGCGCGACGTGGCAGTGAAGCGCCTCAACGAGGACTCCGTGCAGGGCGTCGACGAGTGGCTGGTGAGCCGAGGGCGAGTGGCTGGTGAGCCGAGGGCGAGTGGCTGGTGAGCGCACTGGGGGGGAAAGGAGGGGGGGCGAGTGGCTGGTGAGTGGTGAGTCAAGGCAGGGTGGGGGTGAGTGGCTGGTGAGTGCATGCAGGGCGGTTGTGAGGGGCTGGTGAGGTAATTGGTTGGGGAGAAGAGGATGGATTGCCAGGCTGGGTGGGTGGAGCCGGGCGAATGCAAGAGGCAATGCAGAATGCCCTTGGGCAACTTATGTAGAGCACCAATGCCCTTGGGCAACTTCTGTAGAGCACCAATGCCCTTGGGCAACTCATGTAGAGCACCAATGCCCTTGGGCAACTTATGTAGAGCACCAATGCCCTTGGGCAACTTATGTAGAGCACCAATGCCCTTGGGCAACTTATGTAGAGCACCAATGCCCTTGGGCAACTTCTGTAGAGCACCAATGCCCTTGGGCAACTCATCGCCGCCGTTCCCTGTGCCCCTCCCGTCCTGCCTCTGCGCGTTTGGTTGCTGCGTGCATGCTGGCGTGCTGGCATGCTGGCGTGCTGGCATGCTGGCATGCTGGCGTGGTGGCGTGGTGGCGTGGTGTGTGTGGTGGGTGTGGGTGGCAGCAAGAGATCCAGCTGCTGTACCGGCTGAAGCACCCGTACCTGATAACGCTGCTGGGGTACTGCAGGGAGGGCAAGGAGTTCATGCTCGTCTACGAGTTCTGCCCCAACGCCAGCGTGCAGGCGCAGCTGTTCAGTGAGTGAAGGCGCAGGCGCAGCTGTTCAGTGAGTGCAGGCGCAGCTGTCCAGTGAGTGCAGGCGTAGCTGTTCAGTGAGTCACCTTACATCAGTGTGCCGCAGCTGTGCAGATGCGCCTATTGAACGAGTGTGCAAAGGGAGTTGGAAAGGAAGCTATTGCAAGCCACGTGCTGCATGCCAGACGCATGCTGCTGGGTCCCTCAAGCCGTGGCCTCTGCAGTTTGCCAAAAGAATCTTCTGTTGCCCTCCCCTCCCCCATCTGCGCCCTCTCCCCACCCACGTGGGCAGAGCGCAGTGCGGTGCTGCCGTGGAGCCACCGCGTGCGCCTGGCAGCGCAGTCGGCGGAGGCGCTGGCGTTTCTGCACTCCAAGAACGTGGTGCACCGCGACTTCAAGCCCGCCAACATCCTGCTGGACCAGGTGAGGAAGGGGCGGGGTTGGGGTTGGGGGAGGAAGGTGGTGGTGCAATCAGGTGCCACCTGCCCACATCCTGCTGGACCAGATGCGACCTGTTCACTATCCTTAAACCCTCAACCTTGAACGGTGGATGCGGAAACGTGCTTCACTTGGACCTCGCCGCCTGTGCCCGCCGTGCAGGACATGGGGGTGCGGCTGAGCGACTTTGGCATGTGCCGGCAGCAGGCAGAGGGGCAGACGCACGTGGCCACGCGCGTGATGGGCACCATGGGGTACCTCGACCCCGACTACATGCGCACGGGTGAGCGGCTGCTCGCCCAGGGTCAGTAGGGACGTCGGTACCCCAGAACACAGACCCCAGACCCAAGAACCCAGAACACAGAACACAGAACACAACACAGAACACAGAACCCAGAACCCCGAACCCAGAACCCAGAACCCAGAACACAGAACACAACACAGAACACAGAACACAGAACCCAGAACCCAGAACCCAGAACCCAGAACACAGAGCCCAGAGCCCAGAGCCCAGAGCCCAGAGCCCAGAGCCCAGAGCCCAGAGCCCAGAGCCCAGAGCCCAGAGCCCAGAGCCCAGAGCCCAGAGCCCAGAGCCCAGAGCCCAGAGCCCAGAGCCCAGAGCCCAGAGCCCAGAGCCCAGAGCCCAGAGCCCAGAGCCCAGAGCCCAGAGCCCAGAGCCCAGAGCCCAGAGCCCAGAGCCCAGAGCCCCCAGAGCCCAGAGCCCAGAGCCCCAGAGCCCAGAGCCCAGAGCCCAGAGCCCAGAGCCCCAGAGCCCAGAGCCCAGAGCCCAGAGCCCAGAGCCCAGAGCCCAGAGCCCAGAGCCCCAGAGCCCAGAGCCCAGAGCCCAGAGCCCAGAGCCCAGAGCCCAGAGCCCAGAGCCCCAGAGCCCAGAGCCAGAGCCCAGAGCCCAGAGCCCAGAGCCCAGAGCCCAGAGCCCAGAGCCCAGAGCCCAGAGCCCAGAGCCCAGAGCCCAGAGCCCAGACCCAGAGCCCCAGAGCCCAGAGCCCAGAGCCCAGAGCCCAGAGCCCCAGAGCCCAGAGCCCAGAGCCCAGAGCCCCACCAGAGCCCAGAGCCCCAGAAGAGCCCAGAGCCCAGAGCCCAGAGCCCAGAGCCCAGAGCCCAGAGCCCAGAGCCAGAGCCCAGAGCCCAGAGCCCAGAGCCCAGAGCCCAGAGCCCAGAGCCCAGAGCCAGAGCCCAGAGCCCAGAGCCCAGAGCCCAGAGCCCAGAGCCCAGAGCCCAGAGCCCAGAGCCCAGAGCCCCCCCCAGAGCCCAGAGCCCAGAGCCCAGAGCCCAGAGCCCAGAGCCCAGAGCCAGAGCCCAGAGCCAGAGCCCAGAGCCCAGAGCCCAGAGCCCAGAGCCCAGAGCCCAGAGCCCAGAGCCCAGAGCCCAGAGCCCAGAGCCCAGAGCCCAGAGCCCAGAGCCCAGAGCCCAGAGCCCAGAGCCCAGAGCCCAGAGCCCAGAGCCCAGAGCCCAGAGCCCAGAGCCCAGAGCCAGAGCCCAGAGCCAGAGCCCAGAGCCCAGAGCCCAGAGCCCAGAGCCCAGAGCCCAGAGCCCAGAGCCCAGAGCCCAGAGCCCAGAGCCCAGAGCCCAGAGCCCAGAGCCCAGAGCCCAGAGCCCAGAGCCCAGAGCCCAGAGCCCAGAGCCCAGAGCCCAGAGCCCAGAGCCCAGAGCCCAGAGCCCAGCCAGAGCCCAGAGCCCAGAGCCCAGAGCCCAGAGCCCAGAGCCCAGAGCCCAGAGCCCAGAGCCCAGAGCCCAGAGCCCAGAGCCCAGAGCCCAGAGCCCAGAGCCCAGAGCCCAGAGCCCAGAGCCCAGAGCCCAGAGCCCAGAGCCCAGAGCCCAGAGCCCAGAGCCCAGAGCCCAGAGCCCAGAGCCCAGAGCCAGAGCCCAGAGCCCAGAGCCCAGAGCCCAGAGCCCAGAGCCCAGAGCCAGAGCCCAGAGCCCAGAGCCCAGAGCCCAGAGCCCAGAGCCCAGAGCCCAGAGCCCAGAGCCCAGAGCCCAGAGCCCAGAGCCCAGAGCCCAGAGCCCAGAGCCCCAGAGCCCAGAGCCCAGAGCCCAGAGCCCAGAGCCCAGAGCCCAGAGCCAGAGCCCAGAGCCCAGAGCCCAGAGCCCAGAGCCCAGAGCCAGAGCCCAGAGCCCAGAGCCAGAGCCCAGCAGAGCCCAGAGCCCAGAGCCCAGAGCCCAGAGCCAGAGCCCAGAGCCCAGAGCCCAGAGCCCAGAGCCCAGAGCCCAGAGCCCAGAGCCCAGAGCCCAGAGCCCAGAGCCCAGAGCCCAGAGCCCAGAGCCCAGAGCCCAGAGCCCAGAGCCCAGAGCCCAGAGCCCAGAGCCCAGAGCCCAGAGCCCAGAGCCCAGAGCCCAGAGCCCAGAGCCCAGAACACAGAACACAGAACACAGAACACAGTACCCTAGCTGAGAGGATGGCACAGCAGGGGTGCACCTGGCGGCGCATGATAGGTTGAGACAGCCGGGTCAGCTGAATATCATCGAGGGTCCCTCTGGGGTCTTTGGAATTGCAAGATGCTCCGGTCTGTTTCACTTTGAGGAATGCTGTGTTGCTGCCTCGTCTCCGCTGCTCGGTCCGCTGTGCCTTTTCCACTTCACGAGCCCCCTTTATCGATTATTGCACTTTCTGGCACCTCCCGTCCTCCATTCCACGCCTTTCCCCTCCCCTCCCACCCCCCCCAGGTCTATTGCGTCAGAGCGCGGACGTGTATTCGTTTGGCATCTTTCTGCTAGAGCTGATCACGGGCAAGAATGCGATGAGCGACAGCGGGCAGCTGCTGACGAGCTGGATCACGCCCATCCTCGAGCAGACCAAGCCCGACCTCGAGTTGCTCGTCGACCCAAACCTAGAAGGGGCGTTTGACAAGGCCTCTGCTTTCAAGATTGCCGTGATAGCACGATTTTGCATCGGGGATGCAAAGGTGCGCCCCGAAATGAGTATGGTCGCAGAGAAGCTTAGATCGTTAGTGCCCACAACATCGAGAAAGTGTCATTGGATAGGCTGGTTTGTAGCAAGGCGAAGTATTGGACATTTTCGCCCTCAAAGATTTACACCTGGCAATGATTGCGGTGTTGTCAAAGTTCTATTATGTCGAGGCCTCTATTGCGCGGATGCCACCGACCATAAGACACCATGTCACGCCCGCTCTGTGCCTCATCCTGCCGTTCCGCAGCGCTGCGCCAGGGAGGGCAGAGTCGTTGGCAGGCCTTTCCGCGCTTCCCCTCGATCAGCCGCTGGTGGAACAGATTGGGCGGATCGGGAAGGGCGGAGGCGTGGTCCGGGCGCGGGGAAGGAGGATGGGCAGGAGAGCAACAGCACTTGGCGACCTAATGTCGGTCGGGAGGAAAGTTAGAGTGGTTCGTGCCGGCAAGAGAGAAGCAGCCAAGCTCTGAGCTCACGACGCGCGCTGCCTAGTTTCTGCGTTGGCCTCGCCGCGGCCGGCCGCCAGCACAGGCGGATCGAGCATCAGTCGCACTGTCGGTTGCTTGCGAGGGACTTGCTTGCATGAGCGCGCGCGCCATGCCGTGCTGCTGCTGTGGGGTCGTCAGCGCGCCGCATTTACACTCGTGATCGCGCGAATCGCGGCATGGCTGCACGATGTTAGGTTATGCCGCCACCGCTGCGGCCTGTTACCAAGTAGTCAGGTCGCGTACCCTGATCGTTTTAGATTAACCACTAGTTACGAAGTAGTTATTTATCGTAGCGACGTAGCTATTGATCGTAGTGCCGTAGCCATATCCGTCATTCATCTGCCTGCGTAGAGGCCGACGCGAACAGCGAGCGGCACACAGCGAGAAGCATGCTGTAGAAGTCATCCCTGCGTGCACGCTCTCGCTCCTGCCTACCGGGTGTGCCGTCGTCCCGTTTGTAGAGTGGCTCGTTACCGCGATGGGGTGCGCGGTGTCGGTGGAGGTGGACGCCGCCAAGCACAAGTCGGCCGACATCTCCGACGCCAACAGCCACGCCGTGTCGCAGAAGCCCTCGGGGAAATCCGTCTCAGTGCAAGGTACTTTAAGTCCGTCGCAGCGCAAGGTACTTTAAGTCCGTCGCAGCGCAAGGTGCTTTAAGTCCGTCGCAGCGCAAGGTACTTTAAGTCCGTCGCAGCGCAAGGTACTTTAAGTCCGTCGCAGCGCAAGGTACTTTAAGTCCGTCGCAGCGCAAGGTACTTTAAGTCCGTCGCAGCGCAAGGTGCTTTAAGTCCGTCGCAGCGCAAGGTACCTGCCGGTGCCGCGATGCGGCGGATCTGAAACGGCCGCCCCGCGAAGCACCTTCTCGGGCGGTTGCGAAAGCCGCATGGTGCCCGCATGCCCACCCCCCGATCGCTGCTGGCTGTGCTGCCCCCGTCCGCACCCATGCCATCCCCTTCCTACCCGCCTTCCAGCCCCACCCCCCCACTCCGCCCCCTCTCCCTCCCCCTCCTCTCCCTCTGCTGCCCCTTCTCTCCCTGCACCTTGTCCCCCCGCACCTTCCCCTCCCCACCCTTCCTTCCGTCTCATTTGCCCCTTCTCTTTCCCCCCCCCTCCCCCACCCTTGTGTCCGCCCGTCGTCGTCGCGCGCCAGACTCCCTCGTGTCGGTATCAACGGCGCTGGACGCGCCCACCACTGATGAGGGGGAGGCGCCAGCAGCAGACGGCGCGCGGCCGCTGCGCAAGTTCCGGCTGCGCGAGGTGCGCGACATGTGCGCGGGGTTCTCGTCCAAGTGCCCCGTGCTGGGGCAGGGGTCGTTCGGCACGGTGTACCGCGGCGCCATGGAGCTGGACGGCCAGCCCACCGACGTCGCCGTCAAGCGCCTCGACGCCGAGAGCCAGCAGGGCGTCGACGAGTGGCTCGTAAGCGGGGGGGGTGCGGGGTGCCGTGGGCTTGCTGTGCCTGCGGGCTGAGAGAGGAGGGTGACCACCGACCGGTGCATTGCCCCCTGCCACTCGTGCTCCCCTCGCCGCCCTGTCTGTCTCGGGCAAGCTCGCTTGGCCTTGCTGCCCCACCGCCCCCAAACCCGCGCACTCCATGACGCAACGGCTCCACCCTCACGCCCGCCCGCATTCATTCATCCCCCCACACTCTCCCTCTACCCGCCCTCTCTCTCCCCACGCTTCCACTTCCCCCCGTCCCCCCCCCCCCCCGGGCGGGTGGCAGGCGGAGGTGCTGATTCTGGACCGGCTGCGGCATGTGAACCTGGTGGCGCTGGTGGGGTACTGCAAGGAGAAGGGCGAGTGCCTGCTCGTCTACCACTACTACCCCAACGACAGCGTCGAGACCGCCCTCTTCACCCGTAAGCCGCCCTCTTCACCCGTAAGCCGCCCTCTGCACCCGTAAGCCACGCCCTGCTACGCCCCTGCCCTGCCCGTTTTCCCTCTCCTCGCCTTCTCTCCGCTCTCTGCTGCTCTCGCCGTTTCCCCTCCCCTGTCTTCCGCCTCTGTGTATATCTCTCACGCACTCACCCTCTCCCCCCCCCCTCCTCCCCCCCCCCCCTTTCACCCCCATCCCCCCACGTGCATGCCCCGGCGAGCAGGCAAGCGGGCGGGCGAGGAGGCGTTCTCGTGGGAGCGGCGGGTGCGCGTGGCGCTGCAGGCGGCGGAGGCGCTGGCGTACCTGCACGCTAACGACGTCATCCACCGCGACTTCAAGCCCTCCAACGTGCTGCTCGACCAGGTGCGCCCTCCAGCGTGCTGCTCGACCAGGTGGGAGGGGGGGGGGATTGGGGGATGCCGCATGTGCTGCTGTGCGTTTATGGCAGTAGGCGGAAGGGAGGAGGTGCATGTGTGGTTGTTGGGGGGCTGTGTTGATGTGCAGCCAATGCCATGGGGCTTCTACGGCTGCCAGCATATGGGACGACGAGAAGCAGCCATGCCCTGGTTGGGGCGGGAGAAGGGCGGAGCAGGCAAGAGAAGGAGAGGAGGGGCGTGACAGGCTGGGTGATTCGATTGGGTTGTGAATGCACGAGTCACCTGCAGCCCTTGAGCACTGATGGGAGGTTAAACGCTGCAGCATGGGGTGGGAGGTGAAACGCTGCAGCACAGGGTGGGAGGTTGGAGTTGCAGCGCAGCGGGCAAGGCACTGGTTTGAGGGCGACCATGGCTGGCCCCCTCCCGTTGCCAGGTGCAGGGCGTGGAGACGCGGAAAGAGGAGAGGGGAGGGAGAGCAGTGTGTGAAAACGTGAACTTAGAAAGTTGATTAGGGAGGAGAGCACAAGGCCTTACATCGGAATGTGGGGAGGGGGGTTTCCCACCAATGAGGTTGACCGACTTATTGGTAACCCCAATAATGTTGGCCAGAGTGGCCAGAGTTACTGTGGGTGGCCAAGAATCGGGAACTCAACCAATTGAGGGCCAATCATGGCAAGGATGAGAGCCCAACTTTGGGATCCCAGCCCCAACGAGGGTAACTATACCCAAGCTATAATACGATGCTTATAACTACCCAAGACTAATTAGCTCTGTAGGCTAAAATAATAGACAATATATTCTACCACAACCCCTTAGCCTGCATAGAGCAAGAAGTCTTGGGCACGTGAAAGGAATAACCCCTGAAGCAGGGGTCTGGGAGGAGGATGCAGGCCCCTGGAGTGGGACAGTGGGAGTGCATGAAGCTGCCGCCGGAGGAGGACGCGGGCAGCGTGTGGTGCTGGTGTCGGGGGATGGAGGTGCAGCGGCAAGCGGCGCGTGGTGCTGCCGCCGGACAAGGGAGGAGTTTCTATGGGCGGCGCATGGTGCTGCCACAGGAGGAGTTGCTTGCTATGGGCGGCGCATGTAGCGTGTGGGCGGCACATGGTGCTGCCCCCAGAGGACACAGGTGTGCTGCATTCGGCAGGTGGTGCTGCCGCCGGTGGAGGGAGCTGTTGCTGTGGGCGGCGCCTGGTGCTGCTGGGGGCGGCGCGTGGTGCTGCCACCGGACGAGGTGCTGCTACGCGTGGTGCTGCCGCCGTGAGAAGTGCAGCGGCGGGCAACGCCTGGTGCTGCCGCCGGATGAGGAGCAGTTGCGGGCGACTGTGGTGCTGCCGCCAGAGGAGGTGCTACTGCGGGCGGCGCGTGGTGATGCCGCCGGAGGGAGGTGCAGTGGCGGGTGGCTCGTGGTGCTGCTGCCGGAGGTGCTGCTGCGGCGGCACGTGGTGCTGTGGCGCGTGGTGCTGCCGCCGGAGGGAGGTGCAGCTGCGGGCGGCGCGTGATGCTGCCGCTGGAGGGAGGTGCAGCTGCGGGCGGCGCGTGGTGCTGCCGCCGCAGGGAGGAGCAGCTGCGGGCGGCGGGTGGTGCCGCCGCCAGAGGGAGGTGCAGCTGTGGGTGGTGCGTGGTGCTGCCGCCGGAGGAGGGGCAGCTGCGGGCGGCGCGTGGTGCTGCCGCCGGAGGAAGGTGCAGCTTCGGGCGGCGCATGGTGCTGCCACCGGAGGGAGGTGCAGCTGCGGGTGGCGAGTGGTGGTGCCGTCGGAGGGAGGTGTAGCTGAGGGTGCCGCATGACGCTGACGCCGGAGGAGGAGGTGCTGCTGCTGGTGCTGCTGCGAGCAGCGCGTGGGGCTGCCACCGGAGGAGATGCCGCTGCTGCTGCGGGCGGCGAGTGCTGCTGCCGCTGGAGGAGGTGCTGCAGCTGCGGGCGGCGGGTGCGGCTGCCGCCGGAGGAGGAGGTACTGGTACTGCTGCGGGCGGCGCGCGGTGCTGCCGCCGGAGGAGGACATGCTGCTGCTGCTGTGGGCGGCGCGTGGTGCTGCCGCTGGGGGAGGAAATGCTGGTGCTGGTGCAGGCGGCGGGTGGTGCTGCCGCTGGAGGAGGAGGTGCTGCTGCTGCGGGTGGTGCGTGCGGCTGCCACCGGAGGAGGAGGTGCTGCTGCTGCTGCGGGCAGCGCGTGGAGCCACCGTCGGAGGAGGTACTGTTGGTGTGGTGCTGCTGCGGGCGGCGCGTGTGGCTGCCACCGGAGGAGGAGGTGCTGCTGCTGCGGGTGATGCGTGGTGCTGCCGCCGAAGGAGGAGGTGCTGCTGCTTCTGCGGCTGCGGGCGACGCATGGTGCTGCCGCCGGAGGAGGAGCTGCTACAGCTGATGCGGACGGCGCGTGCGGCTGCCGCCGGAGGAGGAGGTGCTACAGCTGCTGCGGGCGGCGGGTACGGCTGCCGCCGGAGGAGGAGGTGCTGCTGCTACTGCTGCGGGCGGCGCGTGCAGCTGCCGCCGGAGGAGGTGCTGCTGCTGCTGCAGGTGGCGCGTGCGGCTGCCGCCGGAGGAGGAGGTGCTGCTGCTACTGCGGGCGGCGCGTGCGGCTGCCGTTGGAGGAGGACGCGCTGCTGCTGCTGCGTGTTGTGCGAGCTGCTGCCGCCGGAGGATGAGGTGCTGCTGCTGCTGCAAGCCGGAGGAGGACGTGCTGCTGCTGCTGTGGGCGGCGTGTGCGGCTGCCGCCGGAGGAGGACGTGCTGCTGCTGCTGCGGGCGGCGCGTGCGGCTGCCGCTGGAGGAGGACGTGCTGCTGCCGCTGGGGGCGGCGCGTGCTGCTGCCGCCGGAGGAGGTGCTGCTGCAGGGGGAAGGGAGGTGTGAGGGGGGCGGAGGTGGTTGGAGGGCGCCGAGGAAGAGGAAAGGAGGTCGGGAGGGCCCCAAGGAAGAGGAAGGGAGGTGAGTGGGGGCGGGAGGAGCGGAGAGGAAGGGGGGGGTTTAAGGAGCCGCTGAGGGGAGGGGAGGGGGGGGAGGACGGGTGGAAGGCGGGCTGGGAGCCGCTGAGGGGAAGGGGGAGGACGGGCGGAAGGTGGGCTGGGAGCCGCTGAGGGGAGGGGAGAGGGGAGGACGGGAGGTGAGTGGGGGCGGGAGGAGCGGAGAGTAGGGGGGGGGGTTTAACGAGCCGCTGAGGGGAGGGGAGGGGGGGAGGACGGGTGGAAGGCGGGCTGGGAGCCGCTGAGGGGAAGGGGGAGGACGGGCGGAAGGTGGGCTGGGAGCCGCGGAGGGGAGGGGAGAGGGGGAGGACGGGCGGAAGGTGGGCTGGGAGCCGCGGAGGGGAGGGGAGAGGGGGAGGACGGGCGGAAGGTGGGCTGGGAGCCGCTGACGGGAGGTGAGAGGGGGAGGACGGGTGGAAAGTGGGCTGGGAGTAGCGGAGGGGAGGGGAGAGGGGGAGGACGGGCGGAAGGTGGGCTGGGAGCCGCTGAGGGGAGAGGGGGAGGACGGGCGGAAGGTGGGCTGGGAGCCGCGGAGGGGAGGGGAGAGGGGGAGGACGGGCGGAAGGTGGGCTGGGAGCCGCGGAGGGGAGGGGAGAGGGGGAGGACGGGCGGAAGGTGGGCTGGGAGCCGCTGAGGGGAGGGGAGAGGGGGAGGACGGGCGGAAGGTGGGCTGGGAGCCTCTGAGAGGAGGGGAGAGGGGGAGGACGTACGGACGGAGGGCTGGGAGCCGCGGAAGGTTAGGGGAGAGGGGAAGGACGGGTGGAAGGTGGGCTGGGAGCCGCTGAGAGGAGAGAAGAGGGGAGGACGGGCGGGAGGGGGAGGGGGGGGGCTAGAAGCCGTTGAGGGAAGGGGAGAGGGGGAGGGCGGAAGCGGTTGCAACGGCTGCTGATGCGGCTGCTGCTGGAGGTGAGGAGGAGGGAGGGAGAGCTGCGGGTGCAGGAGGAGCAAAGGAGGGGCCGGGAATGCCCCTAGCAGGAGGTGCGGGAGAGGGGGAGGAAGAAGGGGAGGGGCCGCGGGAATGCCCCACAGGAATGACCGCTCGACGGCGGAGGGAGGGGGAGGGCGCGCGTCGTGCGCGACGGCCGCGGAAGGGGTCGCGCGACGCGCGCGACGGCCGCGGACGCTTGAGACGGCCGCGGGAGGGGCCGCGCGACGCTCGCGATGTCCGCGGGAGGGGCCGCGCGACGCTCGCGACGTCCGCGGGAGGAGCTGGGCAGATCGTGGCCGACTGGCATGAGGGAAGAGTGTGCGAGAGGAATGGAAACGACGGGAGGAAAAGGGACAAACCGGAGGAATAGTGCCTCCTCAAAACGAGAGGGAGAAAATTCAGGATCGGTGAGGGGCGTGAGCCTAAGGCTCGGATACCATGTGAGAAAACGTGACCTTAGAAAGTTGATTAGGGAGGAGAGCACAAGGCCTTATATAGGAATGGTGGGAGGGGGGTTTCCCACCAATGAGGTTGACTGACTTATTGGTAACCCCAATAATGTTGGCCAGAGTGGCCAGAGTTACTGTGGGTGGCCAAGAATCGGGAACTCAACCAATTGAGGGCCAATCATGGCAAGGATGAGAACCCAACTTTGGGATCCCAGCCCCAACGAGGGTAACTATACCCAAGCTATAATACGATGCTTATAACTAGCCAAGACTAATTAGCTCTGTAGGCTAAAATAATAGACAATATATTCTAACAAGCAGCACATGTCCACTTGAAGGACTGCGGTGGCTTCATACCCTGATGGTGCCGCGCCCTCCCCTTCCACTGCCGTGCCATGGCCCCTCATTGACATGCTCCATTGTCTAAGTGTCCCTCCCCATCCTTGCTCGCGCGCATGCCCATCATCCCCCACCGCATCTTTGCCTGCACCCCTGAACCTGGCCGCCCCCGGCGCGTTCCCCTGGGCGTGTGGGTTGCAGGACTGGACGGCGAAGCTGAGCGACTTTGGCATGTGCAAGGAGCAGGACGCGGGCAAGTCGCACGTGTCCACTCGGGTCATGGGCACCATGGGGTACCTCGACCCCGACTACATGGAGACAGGTGCCCACAGCCCACATGGTATCAGGTGAGCACAGGGCATCAGGTGACCACAGGGCATCAGGTGGCCACAGGGCATCAGGTGACCACAGGGCATCAGGTGACTGCAGGGCATCAGGTGGCCACAGGGCATCAGGTGGCCACAGGGCATCAGGTGGCCACAGGGCATCAGGTGGCCACAGGGCATCAGGTGGCCACAGGGCATCAGGTGGCCACAGGGCATCAGGTGACTGCATGGAGACAGCTGACTGCATGGACACAGGCGACGTGGCCACATGTGGCATCGATTAGATTCACTCTTCATCCTGCAGCCTTTTCTCTGCCGCACCATCCCACAAGTTCTCCTCCTGTTCCCCCTTGCCGAGTCCCACTACTATGTACACTACTTCCCTTCCGCATCCCCACCAACTCCCTCCCTCCCACCCCTCCACCCCTGTCTCTGGTGCCGGTGGCAGGGCTGCTGCGGCAGAGCTCGGACGTGTACGCGTTTGGGGTGTTCCTGCTGGAGCTCATCACGGGCAAGCGCGCCGTGTCCGACACGGGGCAGCCGCTCACCAGCTGGGTCTTCCCCCTGCTGGACCAGAAGAAGCCTGAGATCGACCTGCTCATCGACAGCGCGCTGGGCAGCCGGTTTGACCGCGACAGCGCGCTCAAGATCGCGGTGATCGCCAAGTTCTGCATCGGCGACGAGGAGCTGCGCCCCGAGATGGCTGCCGTCGTTGAGAGGCTCAAGAAGCTCGTGCCGCCCTGACCACGGGCGCTGGGGATGGCCCTGCGAGGCGCGTTGGCATGGAAATGCTGTGATGTGAATGGTGGTGTAATAGGAGATGTTGAAAATGGTGTCAACACTAGAAACACTCTTACCGTATTCTCCCGGATACAGTACCAGCCGGAATTAAGCTCCCATCCCATGGGTGGCTTGAGCGGGTATGGGTGTTAAATTAAACTGGATCTAGTTACTGTCAAACATATATTGTATGCATGCCCCCAAATTGGTTTTGGGGGTGTTTGATTCATCAGACTTGTCATCAGGGCTGACCAGGGCCTCAGATTGGTTTTAAGGTACCCTGATTGCTCAGGGTCCCCCCCCCATGTTTACCCTGATTTTTCAGGACTCCCAAAAAAAATTCCGCTGAGTAATCAGGGTTACGTCAGAATTTCACGCTGATTTGGCGAAAATTGGGAGATGGGCAAAACGACATTCGGGGAGGGCAGGGATGGGACAAAGTGGGGGGGTAATGTAAGGAGGGAGGATTCCCGCGGGAATCATGTATCATAAACAGAGAAGTGTTATTGAGAGAGTGAGAGTACACACAGATATACCTAAGTCTTGTACCCTCTAAGAGGTGACCCTATACAGTCTATACAAACATGACAAATACACATGTTTGACACACCCCCTAGACTGCATAGGGGAATGTCCTAAACAAGCAGCTCAGGGCGGCACTACTAGTCCAACCTCTGAGACAAGGGTCTGAGAGACCAGTCAGAAGGAGTACAGACAAGGCAAGAACAAGAGCAGGGCGGCACTACTAGTCCAGCCACTGGGAGAGGACACAAGTCCAGTCTGAATATACATATAAAGGACAGTACAAAGTCAAGGTCCTAGCAAGTGAGAGGCTACAGGAACTAGACCAAGCTGTACACAGTGCCACTGATGATCTTTAGGCGCAAGCGCCTTCGTAAAGATATCAGCCGTGTTGGCACCTGAGGCCAAGTGTACTACGCGAGCCTGACGTCGCTGCTGTAGCTCACGCAGGAGGAAGTACCGCAGCTGAATGTGCTTCGCTCTGCCCTCAAGTCGAGGCTCCTGGCACAGGAGGATCATGGCCCTGTTGTCAGCGAATAGGACCGGGGCAGAGCTAGGCCGCTCACCTAAGTCAGTGAGCAAGAAGGTCAGCCAGCGGAGCTCCTGTGCCGCCATGGCACCAGCGTAGATCTCAGCCTCACAGCTGGACTGCGCAACAGACGAGGAGCGAGTAGCTCTCCAAGAGACGGCAGCTGAGCCAAGGCTGAAGCAGTAGCCCTGGGTAGACCTGAGTGTCTCAGCGTCGTCTGCCCACGAAGCGTCTATGTGTCCAGTAAGGACCACTGGCCTGCGTCCTCCTAGCACTAACCCCATGCCCGATGTACTAGCAAGATAACGCAGAACCCTCTTAGCGGCAGACCAGTGCTGCGGTCGGTGTCTGCCTGTGGCCACAAAACGAGCCAGGATGCTGAGAGGGTATGCGAGATCTGGGCGAGTGCAAGTCATCAGGTACATGAGGCAACCCACCAGCTCTGCGTAGGGGCCACTGGGCTCTACCAACTCCTCAGACACTGGAGCGGAGAGTCTGTGGTCTACAGGCAGAGGGGTGGGCTGTGCAGAGGAGAACTGAAGGCTGAACCTCTGAAGGACCTGGCGCACCAAGTGTGACTGAGTCAGGGTGATGGTGCGCGATGCTCTGTCCCTGGAGATATGCAAGCCAAGGTAGCGGCGCAGTTCTCCAAGGTCAGTGCACTTGTGTCTCTTCAGCAGCTCTGCCTTCACGGAGGCCAGTGCGTCCCTGTCTGCTGTGGCAAAGACCAGGTCGTCGACGTAAACAAGGATGTAGAACGGAGTCTGGCCAGCACGAACGAAGAGTGAAGGGTCTGCGGAAGACGGAAAGAACTGCAGGTCAGCAAGCGTAGCACGCAGAGTGTCGTGCCACTCACGGGGAGCCTGGCGCAGGCCGTAGACGGGGCGCCGGAGGAGCCACTGGGTCCCAGGAGGGAAGGTGCCAGTAAAGCCCTGAGGGCGACGCAAGTAGACCTGCTCGTGTAGGCTGCCCTGAAGGAAGGCAGTAGAGAAGTCGAGGCAGTGAAGCTCGTAGTCACGCTGAGCAGCTATGTGTAACAGAACCCGAAGAGTAGTCATCTTCAGGGTCGGAGCGAAGGTCTGGAAGAAGTCCACCCCCTCGCGCTGACTGAAGCCTCTAGCCACATAGCGCGCCTTGAAGACAGGCGGCTCTCTAGGAGGGCGCTTCACCTTGAAGAGCCAGCGGCCATCGACTACGTTCACCCCAGGTGGGGGAACTGCGTCGAGAAAGGTGCCGGTGGATCTCCAAGATGCCATCTCCTGCTCCATGGCAGCTATCCACTGTGAGGCCCAGGGTCCCGAAGTTGCCTCAGCGTAAGTGCGAGGGGTCGGGATGTCGAAAGCGTCTGGGTCACCCTCAGGGACTAGCAGCATGGAACAGAGATGGGGAGCAGCCTCGGAGAGGAAAGCAAGCTCGAACTGGCGTCACTGCCAAGAGCAGGAGCACCCCCGACAGACGGAGGACAGGCAGGGTCAGAGACCAGAGCTGTGGCGTAGTCAAGGCGGCGGGTAGAGGCGAAGTCAGCGACAGCAGCGACAAGGGCGTCAAGGCACGAGACCGGAACAGACGGGTCGGTAACGAGAGAGGCAAGGACCCGAGGAACAAGGGGACGAGCGGCACGAAGGTAGTCAGACAGCGGGGGGGCGCAACAACAATGTGAGAGTACGACTCCGTTACACCACTTGGCCTTTTTCATATTTCATCTTCATTTCATTCCTCTTTTTATCTCATCTCCTTTTGCCTCATATTCCCCATTTTCCATTATCCTTTGGTTTCTTCCCTTATTATAATTATATCACCGACCAAGCATGGAATGTTCTAGACACGCTATCTAGCGTAATCCTGTCGTAATCTCTTAAAGCCAATAGCCTCGCGTGGCTATACGCAGGGTGATTCTATCTTCTAGAAGGGTCTATTCCCTTAGGATAAGATAAACCTGGTTCCCTGATGTACTCTGGAAGTATAAAAGCACCTTGTACTGATCGATAGTGCAACCTTTCCTCGACACATTCGATCCTGTGACAAACAAGGGAGGACGGAGGAGGCGACGGCAGAAGGGGAGGACGAGACGCGTGGGAACGAAGCAACATAGGGTGGGAGCGCAAGACAGGTGAGGCAGGACGAGCACGGGAGGGACGGTGAGACCAGACGTGGGACGGAGGAGTCGGGTCAGGAGACAGGGGAGGGGACACAGGAGGGGAACGAGGGGGGAGACGGGCCGGGGACGAGTCCGGCGGAGGGAAAACAGGGCCGTAGACAGGAAGAGGAGGAGACGGGCGGGGAGGAACCGACGCAGGGTCGGGGGACGGAAGGCCGAGCAGGCGAAGGGCGGACACCGGTGGGAACTGCTGCTGCGGCCGCACAACGGCGACACCTGGACCGCACGCGGCTCCTCGGCTACCACCGGCACTCTCCACACCCGCACCCCCAGAGGGACCACCCTCAGGGCGACCGGGACGAGCACCCCCAGAGTCAGCGAACGGGGGCTGCGACGGCGGCGGCGGCGGCGGCAGCGGCGACGGCGACGGCTGCAGCGGCGTCAGGGGCGGCGGAGGAGGGGACTGGGGAGGGGACACCTGGGGAGGGGCGGCCGGCGAGGACTACACCGGAGGGCCACCAGAGTCAGAAGACTCCTCAACCGGGTCCACGGACGGAAGGGGGGTGACGTGGGAGACACCAGAGGGGCGGGACGGGGAGGAGGAGGAGGAGGGGCAGGGACTACCGGGGAAGGAGTGACCAGGAACAGGGGGGGGGTAACCGCGGGACCATGGTGGGAGAAGCGACGGTAGTAGGAGACGGACTCGTCAAAGGTGACGTCACGAGAGTGAAAGAAGCGGTGAGACGGCGGGTGGTAAAAGTGCCAGTCGGACGCGTCAAGGGGAAAACCGAGGAAGACGCAGGGAAGGGTGCGGGCAGTGAGCTTGTCCGTGCCGGAGGCACGAACGTGAGCAAGGCAGCCCCAGACGTGGAACGCAGACGCGTCACCAGGAGACCCAGTCCAAAGACGGGTCGGCGAAACCTGCGGCTGCTGAGGGTGCGGCCACAAGTTAAGCTGGTGAGAAGCGTAGCGCACAGCGAACGGCCACAGAAAATGGGGTGCACCGGCATGGATCATGGAGGTGCGAGCCACCTCCATGACCAAACCGATGCGTCGCTCAGCGACCCCATTCTGCTGTGGGGAGTCCGGTAGGGTGAACGTCTGGGTGATGCCCTCCGCACGACAAAAGCGACCAAGGACACCTGAGGCAAACTCGCCACCACGGTCTGAGTGAAGACGCAAGACAGGGAGACCGCGGTGGACACGCGCAGAGACAAGCCAGGGGATGAGAGCACCAGGCACGTCGGCCTTGCGCTCCAGGGGAAAGACTGTGGTGTAACGAGTGAAGTCGTCGACGAGCACAAGGAAGTAGCGCTCTCGACGCGGCCCAGGGACGGGGGCGGGGCCCCAGACGTCCAGGTGCAGGGTCTGCAGCGGCGCGGCGGTAGGGGGAAACGAGGAGGAGTGAGGGGCATGGCGAAGCCGACCCTCGACACAGGGCGTGCAAGGGGGGGCGGGGGAGGAGGGAAACGCGGGGAGAGAACCGGGGAGACCAAGGACAAGACCGTGCTGGGACATGTGACGCAGACGCGGGAGCGCAGGGTGACCTAGGCGGTGGTGCCAAAGGAGAGTCGGGTGAGTGAGGGACCGACAGGAGCAGGCAGCAGCAACCTGGGTAGACGCAGCCACCTGAGGGGGGGCCCCAGCCGGGGGGGTCACGGTGTCCAGAGTGAACAGGACGGACACCGGGTCCCGGGGGAACGTGGACAGGGGGGCACCAATGGCGGCCTCGGTACAGACAACATACCGCTCGTGGCCAGGGAACGTAGTGGTGACGCCAAGGTCCTGGAGGCAGCCGACACCAACTAGGTTCCTGGAGAACGAGGGGATATGCAGACCTGTGAGAGAGCCCGAAGGAACCGCCGGACAGGGAAGGGTGGTGGAACTGCGGGCGACTACCGGACCACCAGAGGGGTCAGCAAGAGAGACGGCAGCAGGAACAGGAAGCGGCGTCAGGGTGGTGGAGTCGCGGAAGAAACACCGAGAAGCGCCAGAGTCCAAGGTGAAGGAAAGCGAAGCAGATGCATCTGGCGACGGAACAACGGTGGAAGCACCAAGACTACACAAAGCAGAGGATCCTACGCCTGACGCAGCAGGGGAGG